AAGAAAGAAAGAAAGAAAGAAAGAAAGAAAGAAAGAAAGAAAGAAAGAGAAAATACACAGAAGGGCGCTTGGGTGGCTCAGTTAGTTAAGCGACTGCCTTTGGCTCAGGTCATGATCCTGGAGTCCTGGGATCGAGTCCCGCATCGGGCTCCCTGCTCAGCAGGGAGTCTGCTTCTCCCTCTGACCCTCTTCCCTCTCGTGCTCTCTCTCATTCTCTCTCTCAAATAAATAAAATCTTAAAAAAAATACACAGAAGCTGTGGACATAAAAACTAGGTCTACGTTTGCTGGGCAGTACCTAACATGGTTCATTTAAAATACATTAAATTCTGGGGTGCCTGGGTGGCTCAGTCATTAAGCATCTGCCTTCAGCTCAGGTCATGATCCCAGGCTTGTGGGATCAGGCCCCGCATCGGGCTCCCCACTCCACGGGAAGGCTGCTTCTCCCTCTCCCACTCCCCCTGCTTGTGTTCCCTCTCTCGCTGTGTCTCTCTCTGTCAAATACAGAAATTAAATCTTTAAAAAAATAAATAAAATACATTAAATTTTGGACACAAGGATTTATCACACAAATTAGGGCATAATCCCTCCTCATTATGACTTTCCATCCCTAAATTTACTTAATCCTGAGAAAATATACACACCATTTCCTGAGAAACACTGATATACTAGGAAACTGGATTTTAAAGCTGGAAAGGACTTTAAATATAATTTAATGAGAGCTTTTATTTTTAATGAGAGATAATTTAAAGATAATTTAGTGAGATGTCGGTGGGGTTGAAAGTCCTTCGAGGTTATAGAGATGGGGCAGTGCCAAGATTAATACCCAAGTCTCCTAACTCCCAGCCCAAACTTCTTGCCCATGTGCTGTACTTCTGGCTTAGTTTGTGTCAAGGTTTATCTGGACTTACTATTTTGTTCCCAACAGTTTTAGGCAATAACAAGTGTGCTTTTTTAGTGCAAATCTCTTTCACAAAATAAGTTTAACTATCAGAGCTTTAAATTTCTTTTACCAATTTTACAAATGAAGAAAGAAACAGTAAACATTCAGGAGAAAAGGTAGCATAAATCAACCCAAAATAATTAAACACTCTATTAAATCTTTCTTTCATTATAGATAAGTACATAAAGTGTTTCATTTATAATATTTTCAAATAAACTCATGAAGCGTTAAATCTTTGTGAAAATTTTCCTCAAAGTATAAAGTGACATTTTTCTTTTTTTTTTTTTAAGATTTTATTTGAGTGAGAGAGAAATCACGAGCAGGGGGAAAGGTAGAGGGAGAAGCAGACTCCCCGCTGAGCCAGGAGCCTGATGTGGGGCTGATCCCAGGACCCCAGGATCACGACCTGAGCCAAAGGCTGACTCTTAAACGACTGAGCCACCCAGACGCCCAAGTGGCATTTCTTCTGTGATAAATAGGATACATGTGTAAGTACCAAAAAGGTTTAGTTAGAGAAGAGGCTTGGCTCAGTTATGCGGGCTTTGCTAGAAGAGGTTGTGATTGCCAAGAAGGAGGAATCTCTACTCTTGGGTTCATTCGATATCAGCTGTCATAGCGGGGGCTTCACGAAGGAAAGAGTACATCCGTATCCTATTAAGTCTAACGTAAAAGGATATTACCAAGGGATGTTACTACCCAATTTTCCCCCTATTGTTATTATGTCAACCACAGATTCTGGGAAAGTGATTTTCCACTTCAGTTTATCATATTGCTTTTGCTGAGTAATTCAGTCAACTGGGGTAACCCCTATAGTATTTATTCTCATTTAACTGGAGGAAAAAAATCTAAACAATTCATGACGTCTCTTAACGTGGGTTTTCCAAAAAAAGAAAAAAACCAACTCAAAACGCTGGAATCCAGCCTCTTTCGATGGAAACCACAGGTGACTGACTAAAACAAAGACACCTTGGCGCACCGTTCCCCTCGCCGGCCCCCACGCTCTGGAGCAGCGCCCTCGGGGAGGCAGTGTGGAAGGGCCCCTCTGGGAGCCGAGCGCCCTCCCGGCCGGCTGACCAGTGGTGGTGCCCCGGGGCTGGAGGCGGCTGTGCCAGGCCCCCGGCCCCCAGCCACCAGGGCGAAGCCGCCGGGGTCGACTGGGCGCGCGGCGCCGGGGTCAGATCGAGGACGCGGGCGGGGCCGGGAGGCGGAAGGGCCGGCCCGGGGCGTGCCCACGTGACCGCCCCGCCTGCCGGCTGCAGCCCCCCAGCCGCCGCCGCCTCCGCCTCTCGGGCTGCAGCTCCCGACGTGCCCCGCACTCGCCGCTGCCCGCCGGCCCCTCCCTCTCCTCCTACCAGTGCCACAGAGCCGGAGTCCGAGCCGCCGCCGCAGCCACAGCCGCGGGCACTATGGTAAGGCGGGCGCGCCGCCCCGGGGGACCGAGGGCCGGGACGCGTCGAGCAAAAATCCCTGCGCGGCCCTGCAGGGCCCTGGGAGTGAGGCCGCCATTTTAACCTGATGTAGGCCTTAAAGGTGCGGGCTCCAGCGCCTGCGGCCCCGCTGCTCTCTTCTCCAGCCAGCTGGCGGGCCGGGCCTCCCGCCATCAGGCCGGGCCCTGCCGCTCTTCGGATTCCTGAGGGCGAGGAGGGCGCGGGTTGGGGGCCGGGGGCCCGGGGCCGGGGCCTAAGCCGGACAGGAGGCGTCTGGAGAGGTCGAGGCACTGGGAGCGGCGGCCAGGGGCGCGGGCGGGTCTGCGGGGCTCGTCCCGCGCATGCAGCGTTTGCGCGGGGCTTTCTTATTTTACTTAGCGCTCGCCTCTAAAATTGGTAAGTGCTCTAAAGCCCCGCCGAAGGCTTTCGGTTAAGGGTCTTGGTGGCCTATAATAAAACCCCTAAGAGGAGATTAAGGAGGGGAGAAAACGCTTCTTTAAAATGCTTTTTCGCCGTAAAAAGCTTTTACACTAGCTCCGTTAGTTTTGAAGTGTCTGCGTTTGAGCTGTGAGGCAATTATGTTGTAGCCGTGGGCGGTTTGGAGTTCACACTTGATTCTCTTTCCTTATGTGGAAACGGCACTGGCTAGGATGACTTTAAAGAAAAAAAAAATAGTAGAAGCTTTAACTGAAATCCAAAAGTGTTTTTTTAAGGCCTGCAGAGTTGACACAATACAGAAGGTATTTTTGCTGTTGCTCCTGAAGCTCTGACATCACCCAGTGAAATAGGAAACATTTCAGCGATGGGACAGCTTGTATTTGTCCTTTTCCCTCTACGTTCCATTTACTTCAACCTCCAAACCCCTTTAAAAAGAGTGAATGGGGAAGGATGAATTAGAATCCTTCGGTGCATCTCATATAACTGGTATTTAAAATGTGGCAAATCTGATTGGACTACTTGCGTGGTACGATGCAGTTTTTGATGTCCAGATTAAAGTGAATCCTCTCTAGGCAAACAGTAATTTTGGTTAAAACCGAAATACTTGTTCTGAATTACTGTTCTTTTTTTATTTCAGGCTTCTGGAGTTACAGTGAATGATGAAGTCATCAAAGTTTTTAATGATATGAAAGTAAGGAAATCTTCTACACAAGAGGAGATCAAAAAACGAAAGAAAGCAGTTCTCTTCTGTTTAAGCGATGACAAAAGACAAATAATTGTAGAGGAAGCAAAGCAGATCTTGGTGGGTGACATTGGTGATACTGTAGAGGACCCCTACACATCTTTTGTGAAGTTGCTACCTCTGAATGATTGCCGATATGCTTTGTACGATGCCACATACGAAACAAAAGAGTCTAAGAAAGAAGACCTAGTATTTATATTCTGGTGTGTAAAAACAAAAGAAAAAGTACTTTTAAAATGCAAGGATTATTATTAACATGGTCAGTTTTGCGTTTGTTTTTCTTTTAAGTGGGATTCAACAATTGTGTTTTTTTTTTCTGTAGGGCTCCTGAAAGTGCACCTTTAAAAAGCAAGATGATTTATGCTAGCTCTAAAGATGCCATTAAAAAGAAATTTACAGGTACAAACATGAAAAATTTTGTGCAGAGGAATTACTCTTTCTTAATTATAAGATAATGGGATAATGTTTTTCCTTTTTAGGTATTAAACATGAGTGGCAAGTAAATGGCTTGGATGATATAAAGGACCGTTCAACACTTGGAGAGAAATTGGGAGGCAACGTAGTAGTTTCACTTGAAGGAAAACCCTTATAAAATGACAGTCAAGTGCCATCCGGATCTTAAGGAGCTTCCATTTCTCCAGCTCAATCAGTTGAAATAGTATTAGGTGTTTGTTTTTTTGTTTTTTGTTTTTTTTTCTTTCTCTTCCCACTGGGTCCTTCCAATACAGTGAATGAAGGAAATATCATTCATGTAAGCAGCCTATCAGTGATTGCCATTAGACTGTTTAATACTGTTATTTTTATGTAGAACCCAAGGAATGCCTTCCCATCATATTTTAGCCAAAACAACTGGTTATATGCCTCCCTTGCAGCAAGCACTACAATGAAAGTGATTGTCAATGTGAATAGCTTAGAATACTGCAAAGGGTAAGCTGATTGAATGCCTTGAAAGTATTATCCACTGGGCAGATGGTGAACTTTATTCAGTATTATTATTTATAGTTGCACTTGATTGCAGTTCTGTGAGGCTCGAGCATTCATACACCTCACCTGCCTTGGCAAGCCTATTTTTGTGACATGGCAGCACAGATATAACACTATGCATTGAAAGCACTTTTTTTGTAATGAGTTTAACCCCCTACCCCTCCAAAAGGATTGCCAATTAAGTTTTGTTAACTGTGTCATCAACTTATCCTAGTACCTCAGTATTCATTCCTGTTACCTGCATATCTTAAAAGAAATAGCTGTTACTAATGCCTTTTTGTTTTCCATTGAGTGTACACTACTGAATAAGTGTAGGAGTTTACGTTTACCGTGTAAGTTTTGCAACACTAAAAATATTTTGAATATCAGTCATGATGGCAATTTCTGTATAAAAGAGCCTTAAATGGAACATTGCTTTTGAGATCAAACTCCCCACCCTCACAATAATGGCCACGTTGCAATAAAAATTGTGGCATATTACAGAACGTTGCCTTGTTTTCCTTGGACATTTTGCAAAATGTTATGTGAAGCAAATTTTAGGGTAAACAGCTATTACTAATCTTTGCACTGGTCATTTACGAATTTTTTTGTACAACATTCATGCATGATATTTTCCAGTTTGTTGAGTTTAAAAAATATTCTAAAGCCAATTAATAGAAAATATTGTTATAGAGGGATACTTTTGTAAGCATTAGTTTATTTATTTCCTTATATGTTAATATGAAGATCAGAAGTTATTTTTTGCACTTTGACATAAATATTCTTCAATACCAGGTTTGTTCTCTGGGTAAATTAGGGTAGTTATTTTTTAATTCACGTTTACATTTCTGAGTAATTGAGTAGTAGAAGCAGGGAGCTCTTACTGCATATTTGGTCATAATGAAAATAATTTATAAAATGTCCTTCAAAAGTTAATACTTCTCATGTTTAGGAACTTTTATTTCAGCTATTCTTTATTTTGCAAATTGGAAAAAAAAATGATGTAGCAGTCTTAAACATTAGTAGTGGGATTTGGCTGTGGTCCAGAGTGCTCTCCTTATAGAGAATTTGATCTGCTCAGTGTGAGCAGTTTGCTGTTAGCCAGAGCTATTTATGGCAAACACATGCTTTTGTATCTTGTCATAGTTATCCACAAATGGCAAAACTGGACTTGATTCTACTGGTATGCAAAACAGGCATGCTAGTAAGCAGTCAATCGTGGCTTAGAACTTAACCCCATAGCTCTCAAGAGTGCTCTTCTCAGAAAACAGGAAACAAAAACTCTCCCTTTTTTTTAAATGTGTGAAAGTGATTTGAGTATAATTAGATATTTTCCCATATTTTCAGAAGATTTTTTCAGGTGGAAACAGAGGAGTTAAATGTCTAGGCTTCCATTTAAAATTATATGAATGGCTTGGGATCTTTTGCACTGAGCCATCTTATTTCAGGCTTCCAGCTGTCCCTGTGAGTTATCCTGGACGTTTGTCATGGCTTTTTGGTAAGGCTAAACTCATAAGGAAAGTATGACAATAATGACATACACTAAACCCGATGTATAACTGATTCTTATACCATGGAATTTTTCATCATTTTCCTTGTTCTAAAAAATAAGGGACTCTTAAGTTATGTAGTATCTTTATTTTTATAGCTGATTTATCAGCTTTCTTATATGCCTCATATAATAGTTTCAGAGATCAAATGTTGCTTTAAACTGTGGTACTTTGATTTGTTCAATTGACAGAACTGATACTAAGCTCATTTTTGAAATACATCTTTGTGCATAACGCCAAAAATAATGATACAAGTAATGGTTCACATGTTACTTGAGACTAATTTGGCATTTGAAGTGATCATTTTATTTCACATTCATTTACAATGAAACAATGTTCCAGTTAGCTTTAAAAGGTATACGGTGCTAATTAGTAAAATATTGCCCTCAATATTTTACTGCTAGCTTGCAAAATTAAAGTGTTTAAAAAAATAAAATGTATGAAAATATATAAAGCTGTTGAGATGTGTTCACTTATATTTCAGAACATTAAAATTTTAAAAACTAATGTTGCAGATCAAAGAGGCACCATTATCTTTAGTCTTTTTTAGGATTTTAGTTGGTATACTTTGTCATTTGCAGATAACAGTATTCTTTGAAAATTTGTAACTTACAGCGATTTTAACATTTTCAGACAAATGGGAACAGTTGGCATTTGTCCCAAACTGGCTATCATCAGCTGTTGTTTTCAATCATTATCTAAAATAATGTGCCAGCATTGTGTATTTAATGTCCCTTTTTAGTAGATTGAAAGAAAAGCCTCATATGTTTGAGTATCCTGATATAGATCCTTTGTAGCAGCTAGTTTATGAAATCTAGCAAATGAGTTTTGGGAGAAAATCATTTTAAGTGTTTCCTTATTGAGGAATAATCTCAGTAATGGTCAATCATAGAAGGGTTGGGAACACCCTTCATTAGATTTGCCACTCTGAAAAAATAATCTGGTTCTGCTCTTCATAGGTCCTATTTTTGCTTGTACAGTTAATAATAGTTTGAGATCCAAACAAACATGAATATTAATTTTTCTATGAATATTAAAACTATTAGAGATGTGCAGGCAGGCTCCAATGAATATTGCTTTTTCAGACAGCTTGAATTTACACGTTCCATGTCTCATGTCAGCCAATAAAGAAGTCTGAGGCTTTTCTTTTGCTCTAGAACATCCAAATTGCTTTTTTCCATGTAGAATTGGGAGTCATCCCTCCACTTCAATTTCTTGTCTTAAAGCAGTTGGGCAAATTATTCTTTCTGAGCCTCAGTTTCGTTTCTTTTAATAATATAAGAATAATATTCATCATACCTCATTGTAGAGGATCAACTATGGAAATTATTTTTGGAAAACAAAAATGCTATGTAAGCAATTGGTTAAACCATTCTACGTGTAAATAGATAACCATGTTAAAAATAAGATTTATTATAAGTCTGAACCTCTTCATTTTTGTAATTATTCCACTTCATCTCACAGTTTAAGGACAAATTAGCTGGAATGTGGCATTGGTTTTTCAGAATGTAGTAAAGTGTAGCCTCTGAGTTGATGTTCGTGACTGCTCTTAATCTTTTGAGTGTAGTTTTCTTTTTCATGTATGACCGATCCATTAACTACTCTTTTCCCCCAAATAATTTTGAAGTAAAAAATGAAAGGAAATAAAGCTAGAGAAATATTGGTATGGAATACTTGTCATGAGTCATGATCCAGGTTGTTGAAAACCTATGACTGTTTATTACTAATATCCTAAATTTATATAGTCCTTTGTATTTGTCAAGACACCTGAAATTCATCTAATCCCCTTAGGTCCTCTTAACCAGCTAACCATATTCCTCTGCTACACATGAAGAAACTGAAGTCTGGAGAGGTTAAGGGACAGCTCAGCTATTGAGTAGCAAAGCTGATTCCGGTCCAGTATACTTTTCACTCTGCATTTATGTAACATACAGTGAGTTACTAATTTTCTGTTTTTTAAAAATGGAGTAATCTGATTTTTTTCAACAGGACATAATTATTCAGTATGTTTTCAAAGTAGTGTCTCAAGAATATTTGAAAAATAGTCTTGGAATTTTTGTTTCCTAAGGAAGCCCATGGTCATAAAAGTCTGAAATAATTTTACACTTCAAAGGTTTTCTTAGATGTTTCAGTATTGTAAGTTTATGGAATTGTGGAAACCGTAAGGATTGGATAAACACATTGTCCAGAAAGCTGATACCTCTTGTTTAAAAAAAAAAAAATTTAAGATTTTATTTTTAAGTAATCTCTACACCCAACATGGGGCTCAAACTCACTACCCTGAGTTCAAGAGTCAGATGCTCTACTGACTGAGCCAGCCAGACACCCCAAGGCTGATACCTCTTATTCTTTTTCCAAAACTTGGATATCTCCCTCCCTATGCTCCTCTACCCATCTTTCTAAGGAGAGATAGTATGGTGTATCATAGTGGTTCAGTACTAGAACTTTGGTATCAGACTGCTTGGGTTGTTCACATACTGGTCTTTAACACTGACTAATTGAGTGATCTTAGGAAAATCGACCTCTCAGAGCCTTAGTTCATGTATGATTATACTCTGTCTCATAAGATTTGAGGATAAATGAAAGCACCTTGCGTAGTTACTGGCACATAGAAAGTATTTTGTAGAATGATCCTAAAATTTGCAGCCCAAACCAGGACATTTCTTGAGAGTAAAAGGGAGAGTTTTAATAATTATGCCAGGACAATAGGCTTAAGTTGCAACAGTCTCCAGCAAACCAGATGTCATACTATCAAAAAGTAGGCTGATGTCAAAATGTAATACTTAAATAGAGGAAATTGCATGAAAGACTCAAAGTCATTAATTAAATTTTTTTTTAAGATTTTATTTATTTATTTGACAGAGAGTGAGAACAGGAACACAAGCAGGGGGAGTGGGAGAAGGAGAAGCAGGCTTCCCGCGGAGCAGGGAGCCCAATGTGGGGCTCCATCCCAGGACCCTGGGATCATGACCTGAGCCAAAGGCAGCTGCTTAACGAATGAGCCACCCAGGTGCCCCTAATTTCAATTTTATAAGGTAGTAGTATGCTGACTAAGATTCTCCTGAAGTATATGGTTACTTGCAAGTAATTAGCCTCAGAACAGTCAACTTTGGATTTTTTTATGCTTTTTTTTTTTTGGTAACTATTTTTCTTTTTTCTTTTTTTTAAATTGAGAGAGAAGCAGAGGAGGGGCAGAGGGAGAGGGAGAGAGACAATAAGCAGGCTCCACACCAGGTGCGGAGCCCAACGCAGGGCATGATCTCACAACCCTGAGATCATGACCTGAGCTGAAATCAAGAGTCAGCCACTTAACCGACTAAACCACCTAACCGACTAAACCACCCAGGTGCCCCTTTAGCTTTCCTTTTGACTTTAAAACTTGTAAACTCTCAGATACTGCATTCTGCTATTAACACTATCCTTTACTTATACCAGCTTCTCTTAATGCTTTTCATCTCCTGTGGACTTGGAAAGCCAGTTTATTTGAATTGTGTGTAAGAAAGTGAATAGGCTGATTGTGGGCTTGAGAGCAAAATGCCTGAGTGTATGAACCTTCTAACATTTCTTTTGGCTGTTTAAAGAACTTTGATGTACTTTCTGGGTTTTTGGTATATATATATATTTTTGTTTGTTTAAAGATTTTATTTATTTATTTATTTGACAGAGAGACAGTAAGAGAGGGAAATACAAGCAGGGGGAGTGGGAGAGGGAGAAGCAGGCTTCCCCCTGAGCAGGGAGCCCGATGTGGGGCTCCATCTCAGGACCCTGGGATTATGACCTGAGCCGAAGGCAGACGCTTAACGACTGAGCCATCCAGGCGCCCCTGGGTTTTTGGTATTTTAATAAGTATGTAAGATAACCGAGCTGTAGATAAAAGAGGCATGGCATCACTGTATCCCTGTGAGGTGTCGAAAATTCATTAATATTTTTTTAAAGACATTTATTTATTTGAG